GGACTTTTTAAACAAATAGTTAAAGGCTGTAAGCTTGGATGTACAAAATAAGGGGCTATAAGGTTGGATTTTTGTAAAAATACTATTTCGAGACATCAACGTCTTAAAGCGTGGATTAAAAGAAATATGTTTAATAGGTGTACTTCCAAGGCTTTAATCGTGGGGTTTTCAAGGCTATTGGTGTGGATATAAAATTCAATATAGACCACTAAGTACCTCTTTGTGAATGTGAACTCAACATTGCATAAGAAGAATTTTTGGTCATCTATAGAAGAACGACCTACTGGACTAAAAACATGGATGTCTGATCCTCTATAAGAAAATCTTCTGGTTTCTATAGATCTCCATATTTGTTTTTTTTTCCTACATAGGGCAACATTCTGGCCTACAGTAAAGCGTTTTGTTGGCCTTATTTTATTTTGGACTGCCGATCTTCTATTATAAGACCTCTATAGTAAGTACTCTATACAATTTCCTCCATAATAATATGCCTTAGAGTCAAGATCTACAAGCCGGATTTATTAAAAAAAATATATATTTTCAAAACATTTCAATAGTTAAAATTCTGGTTTGATTCCTATTGCCTGAAAGTATGCACCAATCATTGAACATACGTCACAGCAAACAATATCAAATTGTTTTAATTTTTTCTGGATTTTAATTTTTCAAGATTTTCAGTGGGCAAAGTTAAGGTTTGTAACTTTGCACATATATATTTGAAGATTTAAAAGAGAAGAAAAATAATTTACAAACAATGTTTGTTAATGTTTTGTTGTTGTTTTTTGTAATTAAAGAAAAGTCTTTATTTTCGATGGCGGGCATTATAACTCCTCACAGGAACATCGGAATCCGAAAATTCCAACGGTGTTGGAAAGAGTACATGTCTGGCTCTCGTATGAACTAGGATTATTGACTTCGCTCTAAAATTAACAAAATAGTGGACCTTTGAAAAAATATTTTTGGAAAATCGCCGATTTTTGATTAAAAACCAAGTTAAAAAATAAGGAAGATCTTTACCGATTGACTTTATTCTAGTTCATACGATAGCTATACACTCACAGAGAAACATGTACAAATTTGCAATCGATTGGGTTATTAGTTTTTGAGTTATCGTGCCCGCCATTCGCAAAGGAGGAAAACGCGTTCAAAGTTTGAGAACCCCTTTAGCCGTCACTTGATGCTGACACAATAAATCGGCTATATTTTCAAGACTTCTTGAGATTTTCACTTGAAATGTTGTAGGGACATTCTTGAATTAGTGTAGATTCGAATTAAATCAAAAAAATTTTGACCCCGAGAATGGGGGGGTCCCCTTAAATGCCTAACTTTATTTTGAGCTTGTTAAATATTAAATTTTGTGTTAACACCTAAAAGTATGCAGCACACAATAACGCCATTTATGTAAATGTCAGCTGTTGTCTCCTTTACTCAAACAGACATATGTTACAAGTCATAATGAAATGATCATATGACGACGACTTATGGTGACTAACACATGCATAATGTGTAACGTGAATGGCCAGAATTGTTGAATATTAAAAAATTAAATTACCAACAGGACTATATGCGTAGATTATTAAAACAAATTTTTAGAGGAATTTAAGTCGTGAATTAAAAAAAAACTATTAGGCGAGTACAATGTCTATAAGCGTTATTAAAAAAAATATAATAATGTTAGACTTTAGTTTTTAGGACAATAGAAAATTTTTAAATACAATTAAAATTAATTGACAATATATTTCTTATTGCCTAAAAGTATGCACCAAACCTTAAACATACATCTCAAACAAGGTATCAACACTTAACATATATTCTTTTCCAAATACCTAGATAAACATCCTAAATACTAAATTATTCCCTACAACTACATTTTGAGTTTAATATATTTTAAAGTTCTCTGTTAACACCTAAAAGTATGCATCACACAACAATGCCATTTAAGTAAATGCCAGCTGACAGAACACATATGTAACAAGTCATAAAATTCAAATGAACATATGACGACAACTTATAATGACTAGCACACGCAAGATAAGAAATGTGAATGGCCAGAAATGGAATGCAATTTGAATTCTGGAGGATAACAAGAAAAAACATGCAGAACAGAGTTGAAGAAAAACAAAAAAAAAGTAACTCAAAGCATTACAACCCAGCAAAGTTCATTGCTACCAATAAAAGGAAAGCAAGGTAAATTGCTGAGTCCTTATGGTTACCTTTGATTCCCTAAAAGTGATATTAATGTCTATCTTTGTACAAAAGACGAAGGCGAATTAGAAAAAAAAGACAAATAACCAGGCAACCAAAAGTTTGACTTGTCATGCCTCGTCGTGAATAATTGTTAGCTGGCAGGCAGCTCTAACAACAACAGCCGTCCAATGAATCTCTGAACTTCAATGGCAGTTGATTTGTTAGGCGAAATTCCTTAAGACCCGAAAAACAAAAGCGCTCATGCCACCATCTGTCAATTGTACAACAAACTGGAGAATATGCGTTGGAGTGGAATTCCATTTGCTGAGATATTAAAAACTGAAATGGAAACGTGTGCAAGTTGTACACGGAGGACTATGAACTTGCCTTAAAAGTTTTCCCACAGTAATTTATTACCAGCAGTTGGTAATAAATGATTATAGAGCTGTTTTTGGCATTAAGACAATAAATTCGCCACAAATGCAAATCTGGCTCAATTCAAATTGAAGATGTACATTAATTTCCTCGTCATCGAAGAGAAGGTAGGTCGCAACGAAAATGTTATACCCTTCGCCATGAATTTTAATATATTTCCTGAAGAAGAAGATCCTTGGGTCTCATGTATTATAATAGAGGATTTTTTTTAAAGTTAATTGTGGGGTTTTCAACGTGGATTTCTAAAAAGTATTTCAATGGTTATAGGAATGGATATTTTAAAAATATTTCCTAAGAAAATTCAAATTCTATAATGATGGAATTTACAAAGAACCTCCAAGACTATAGACGTAGATTTTTTGAAATGATTTCCAAAATTATAGGCATGGATTTATTGAAAATATTTTCAATTAATGACTTCAAGGTTATACGCGTGGATTAATGAAAGGATTTACAAGAATATTTAGATATGATTTGTGAAGTAATTCTATGATTATAGGAGTGGATTTTGGAAAAGACTTCCAAGTCTGTAGGCAATGATTTTTGAAAGGTCTTTCAAGACTGTAGGCGTGGATTTTTGAAAAGACTTCCGAGACTATAAGTGTGGATTTTCGAAAGGACTTCGAAGGCCATGAGCGTGTATCTTTGAAAGGACTTTCAAGACTATATGTGAGGATATTTGAAGTGACTTTCAGGAATATATGTGAGGATATTTGAAGTGACTTTCAAGACTAAAGGCGTGGATTTTGAAAGGACTCCCAAAACTATAAGCGTGGATTTTTAAAAGGACTTTCAAGGCTATAAGCGTGGATTTTTTAAAAAACTTCCAAAGCTATAAGCGTGGATTTTTAAAAAAACCTTCCAAAGATATAAGCGTGGATTTTTAAAAAAACCTTCCAAAGAACTTTCAAAGCTATAAGCGTGGATTTTTAAAAGGTCTTCCAAGGCTATAAGCGTGGATTTTTAAAGGGACTTCCAAGGCTATAATCGTGGATTTTTATAAGGACTTCCAAGGCTATAAGCGTGGATTTTTAAACGGACTTCTAAGGCTATAAGCGTGGATTTTTAAACGGACTTCGAAGGCTATAAGCGTGGATTTTTAAACGGACTTCCAAGGGTATAAGCGTGGATTTTTAAACGGACTTCCAAGGCGATAAGCGTGGATTTTTAAACGGACTTCCAAGGCTATAAGTGTGGATTTTTAAACGGACTTCCAAGGCTATAAGTGTGGATTTTTAAACGGACTTCCAAGGCTATAAGCGTGGATTTTTAAACGGACTTCCAAGGCTATAAGTGTGGATTTTTAAACGGACTTCCAAGGCTATAAGCGTGGATTTTTAAACGGATTTCCTAGACCATATTTGAAATGGCCTTCAAGATTATTGGCGACTATTTTTGAAAGAACGTTTATGTTTTTAAACCTGGGATATTAAAAGGACTTCCAATCATAGTCAAGAACTTTTGAAAACCAACACTAACAATAGGCATGGATTTTTGAAAGCACTTCTAACACTGTAGGCATGGACTTTTGAAGAGACCACCGAGACTATAGACGAAAATTTTTGAAAGCACTTATAATGAAAAATGAACAAGAAAAACTTTCTACTTCTAATAAAATAATTACCATTAAAGCTTTAAGCGTGTTCTCACCATTCCATAAGAAGACTTTGTTGGTCTTCTATAGAAAAACGACTTCCAGGACTGCAAGCGAAGATGTATGTTTTTCACCTCTAAAAAACCACATTCTGTTATAATGATTTTAATGGGTTCTATATAAATTCCTCACGATCTTCTATTAAACGTACGTCTAGTACTCTATAAGAAGATCTAAAGGTCTTCAATTACAATTCTGTCTTTCCAAAAATGTCCTTTACTCTTCCATACGAAAATCCTTTAGTCACTTATCAGATGGATCTATGGTTTTCCATAAGAAGACTTCCTCGGCCTTGACATAAATATCTTTGGATGGTTGATCGTCTAATCGTATTAAAGTTGACTTTATGGCCCCGTATGTGATGGTAAATTTAAAATACCACCTTTCACTCCCCATCCCTACTCTGAGTTAAAAGACAACATCAATTTCCTGTATGGCTTTGAGCATTAAATAAATCTTATTTCAAAAATGAAATCATGTAATTTGCCTCAGAAAAACTTCTTTTTGTCCTTTCTTGGGTTGACAACTAAAGTGGATCTGTAAAACCTCTTATTAACTACAAAATAGAATAGAGATGCCCGAATGTGAATCCTATTTCTTGGCAGAACTAATGCTTAAAATAAGACTCGAAATATTTCAACCTGCTCGCTTACCCCAAGGGCAGGTAATCGTAACAGATTTAATGTTTTTTTTTTCTATTTGCCAGAGGGCTGTTAACACTCACCTCTGTGTTTTGGGTTGGGCTTTGACCATTTGTGAAGCATCCTCATTGAAGGTATCATCCTCGATGGGCTCACCATCAGTTCCGGTCAAACGACGATACACTTCATGTGGCACATCATCGCCGGCCGTTGTCTTGTCATTGTTGTTCTTGTGGTTGACAGGATTCACTTGAAAGCGATTGGGTGGTCGGTCAACCGAACCCATTTCCAGTGATGAGAAATCCGCCATTGTGTGTGTTTGTGTGTGGGTGGATGAATGGTTGGCTTGACAAGTGAAATTTCGAGATTACAAACAAACAAAGCAAGCGGTCTGCTGTTGTCCAAGCCTTTTATTACTGCTGCTCCCCGGGAAAAGGCTTTTCGTCAGGTTAAAATTTAACAATTTTGTTTTTGTTTTCTTTCGATTTTCAGTTTCAATCCTCCATCAACACTGGGATTCTGGTTGTTATTGTGCGTTGCTTGTTGGATGTTTCTTCGTTTCTTTTTGTTTTTTTTTCTTGGGAGAAGACTGAATCGAGAAAATCTTTATTTTTTGTTTCTTTTTGTGGACGGACACTTAATTGGTAGTTATTTGTCAAAATGAAACAAAGAGGAGATTTCCCAGTTATTGCAGATAACTTCTGGCGTTAATTTTCTCTGAAAACGTTTCAAATTCTGTTGTCACACAATTTCCAAAGTCCGTTTATGGGGTTGCCACTTCAATTTATGTGTTTTTCTTGTTATTCTTGTCCTGTCGGACACCGAAACTTCTTTCCTTCTTTTGTTCTGTTTATATTTTATTGACACTTTTTTCGTTGTTGTCACAAGCAAACAATGTTCACGGACACCATGACCTCTCAGGTTATGACAAGATTTTGTTTTTAGTTTTCTTGGGATTTTCTTTTCGTTAGTCCTTCGAGCAGTGTTTGCCAAGGGGTTACAAATAAATCACTTTAAAATCTGAAAATATAAAGCAGAAAGGATATAGTAAGTTATTTTAGTTGTTGTTGTAATGCTAAAAATATATCCTTTGGAAGGACACAGATACGCAGAGAAAACTTATCAAAAGAAAAAAAAACATAATCGGATCAAAACATAAAAGCAGTGGTTGCTTAGTATAAAACGTCTTTAAAATTTTATTATTAGAGGTTCAGCTTCAATACGTGGTTCAGTGTTATACATTTGTGTAGCATATCTTCATGACATTGTCAATTTAATATTCCGACAGAAAGTAAAAGAAACCAGGAGTGCATTCTAGTCTTCTCCAAGCAGAACATTTAGTTTGTGATGAACCGATCTTTAAGACCAACTCTTCTAACAAACTCATCTTTGAATAGAAGACCTTCAGTTCTTCTATGAACTGACTTTCAGATCTTTTCTGATTATCGCGATCTTATTTGAGAAGACCTACATATCTTCTTCTCTTGGGCTTCTATAATCTGGGTATGTGGTCCTATTTAAAATGACGATCTTCTGATCAGACATCTATGAGAAAATCACTTCTGATCTTCTTGAGAAGATTTGCAGGTCTCCGTCTTTTATAAAATTCGTCTAGAGCAACCCTTCAGGTTTCTGAGCAGACTTCTGCTCTTCTATGAGAAGACCCTAACTTCTCTGGGAAACACCTGCTGATATTCAATAAGAAAATATTTTTCTATGAAGATCCTCAGGCCTTCTGTGAGATCTTTAGGTATGCTAAGTGATTTAGCTCTTCTCTTATAAGAACTTCAGCACTTCTCTGAGAACACCACCTTCAGCAGTGGAGATGACTTTCAGCTCTTCTATGAAGAAGGCCTTCAACACTTCTATGATGTAGGCCTTCAGCACCCTTCAGGTTTCTGAGCAGATTTTCTGATTCTATATACAAGAGGAGGGCATTTTGGTCGTTTGTAAATAGGCGGTCATTTGGATTCATATGAAAATATTTTTTAATGTTCAATGCCCTGGTCTCCTACAAAACGATCTTCTGAAATTTTAAAATAAAGCTTTCTCAGAGAGACTTCTGCTCTTCTATGAGAAGACCCTAACTTTTCTGGGAAACACTTCCTGATCTTCAATAAGAAAATATTTTTCTATGAAGATTCTCAGGCCTTCTGTGAGATCTTTAGGTCTATGCTAAAAGATTTAGCTCTTCTCTTCTTATAAGAACTTCAGCACTTCTCTGAGAACACCTTCAGTAGTGGAGAAGACTTACAGCTCTTCCATGATGAAGAAGACGACCTTCAGCACTTCTATGACGAAGACCTTCAGCACTTCTATGATGAAGACCTTCAGCACTTCTATGACGAAGACCTTCAGCACTTCTATGCCGAAGACCTTCAGCACTTCTATGATGAAGACCTTTAGAACTTCTACGATGAAGACCTTCAGCACTTCTATGATGAAGACCTTCATCCCTTTTATGAAAAAGAAGACATTCAACTTCTATGAAAAATGAGATCTTCTGTTCTTCTATGAAGAAGACCTTTTCTCTTCTATGTAAAAGACCTTAAGCTTTTTTATGAGAAAACTTGTTACTTTTTGTATGGGAATTCCTGCAGCTCTTAAAATGGAATCCCTTTTTAAATATTTTCAGCTGTTCTTTGAGTATACCTTCAGTTATTTTATTTATTTTTTTTCGTCAAAAAACCTTCCGCATTTTATGCGTAGCAAATCTTCCTGTTTGTTATCCTATAAGAAGATTATCCCATATAAAGTTCATCTTTACATGTGGACGTCATTACTATTTTCCTCAGATGTATTTCCACAAAAAGTCTTTTTAAAACTTATAAAAAGGATAACCTTAAGATACCCTTTGCATTTTTTCCTTTTTTTTCTATTTTTACCGTTTTTAAAGTAAAGAAAATATTCAGTTTTTGTGTCTAAGTCATGTGGAAAAATTCACTTTTCACAATTCAAACAAGTAATACCGAATAGATGTTTTTTTTTTTTTTTTTTTGCTATAGCATGGGTGTATGTCTGTGTTTGGTTATTCTTGTGGGCGATTGAAGTGAATTCTGTATGGCTGTATATCCTCCTGACATTTTGCTAGGCTTACAAAAAATAAATATTTTTTTCGACAATGTTTCCTCAATGTGTGGGCGGAATAGCAAATATTTTCCCTAGGCCTAAAGAAAAGAGAAGTGGTGCGGTTAAAAGCAACGACCGAGACATTTTTTTTTTCTTCCCCAAAAAAATGAAACGAAGATAGAACCACCATTAACACATATTCAATTAGAAAGGGCCCAAACGCAAAAAGAAAATGATTTAATGTTCTGGGAAAATCACCTCTAACCACAAATACCCTTTTCAAAGGAACCTTTCAACTGTGGCAGTTATATGAATACAATACAATAACAACAACAACTCTCGAAGGTTGTAGTTGGTTTATTTTGGTTCGTTCTATTTTCTGAAAAAAAGGAAAGGTAAAAGAAAACGAAAAAATATGAAAAACCAAAAGTAGACTAAAATGTGTGGCCTACTTTACAACGGAGCAGATAAAATTTAACAGAAACATTTACACCTCAAGTTTAGTTTAGCAATAAAGGAAAAGCAACGATGCTTACATTCCTTTCACCCTCCAGCCACAGCATAAAAAAGGACAGCGTATCCATAAAACAAAATAAAAAACAACAAAAACTATACACGAACAGACAGATCTACATATCTATGCAATAAAGCATAACCCCATGACCTCTTTGACTAAAAATGAACAGCAACAACCAACCACAGAGGGACCCATAGTTTCATGAACATGGGCTATTGAGTATGCCTGGCGGAGTAGTGCCGGTTTTTGACCCTTGTTGTTTTCCATGGACTTTAATTGAGATTTATTTGGCAGCACCAACAAAAAAGGATGCCACATAGACAGGACGCATTCAGGATGTTTGCTGTTTGTTAGTTTAGGACAAATTTTCCGGATATGAACAAAAATGACTATTTAATTCAGTATCAAGGCGTACGTGCTTTGGGTTCGAACAGATCTTGAAGTTGGCATTGTTTGGGAGGGTATTTTTGAGTCTCTAGCTTAATGTCAAAATCAATTTAATTGCTTTATTAAATCGAGTAGGGGGAATATATTAAGGGAACCAAATTCTCGGTTTCAAAAAAATTAATTTTGTATTTTGATTTAATTCGAAACTACACCAATTCAAGAATGTCCTTATAAAATTTCAATGAAAATCTCAACAATTTTTGAAGAAATAGCAAGAGGGCTTCTCAAACTTTAAACGCGTTTTTTCTCCAAACAGCGTTTTTGCGAATGGCGGACACGATAACTCAAAAACTAATAACACAATCGATTACGTTTCTCTGTAAATGTATAGCTATCGTATGAACTAGGATAAATCCAATAGCTGAAGATCTTCCTTATTTCTTAACTTGGTTTGTGGTAAAAGACTGATCTTCGATAAACTGGCCTTCTCGCCAATCTGTAAGAGAACCAACATAGTTCTTCTTCAAGAACAGTTCGTCTTTAAGTAGTCCACCACAGCTGTTGATGTTCTTATAAAAGTTCTGATGGGATTCTTATTTTATTGATTTTCTATTGGAAGTCATTCTCTTCTAAAAGTACACCTATTGCTGTTCCTTCATGAGAAAATATCCAGCTTTTCTATAAGAAGACTTTCAGCTCTTTATAAAAACAGTATACAGATTTCTAAACAAAGCGTTTAAGTGTTTTTAAGAATGTCTTTTGGTATTAAATACGAAGACCAATTAGATTTAGAGAAAGGTCGTCTGAACTGTTCAAACATTCAAAAGGATATTATTTATAAGTTACATAGCAAGACTTTCTGGTCTTCTATTTTTAAGAAGAACTTCTGACCTTCTATTGGAGGACTTTCTGGCCTTTCTGCCTTTCTGCCTCCTACCATCTAAAGGAAAAAACATTTATTCTGCTATGAGAAACTAACCTTTCCTTGCTGTAGGACAATCTTCTTATATTCCTTAAGAAGAACACATGTCCCGTTTTCCTAAAAATGTCATCTATAGGTGGCTCCTAGTTGGTGTTTTATTTACTTTATTTCCTATTGTTTATTTCACCCATTTTTAATTTCCCCATCAATTTACAAAAGCATCCAACCTTTTATTTGCCTTCCCATATCTCAAGCAATACTATGCGAATATCACAACTAATTATATTCACCAAACCATTGCAAAAAAAGAAAAGAAAAAAATACTAAAAAATTCTGCTGATGTTCTTTTGTTGATTTTAGGTTAATAATAATGTGGTCATTATCATTTTAAATGAGACCGTCCTTGAGCTACCCATGAGAGAATGTGGACCGAAAATGATTAT